GTCTGCATCCTGACACTATGTGCCACGGACCAGAGGATTGGGGGACCTGAAAACCTTGGCGGGTAAGGGGGGGTGCAGGGAGAAGTGGAGGGGGGCGGGGGGATATAACATCAGGCTAGTAAAAGTGATTTGGGTGGCGGTACAGATATAAAATACAGATTTCTAGCTTACCTACAGCAGCTTCCAATACACTGACACACGGGGCTCATCCAAAATCCCCCTTATTGGCCCTTCTAAGCCTGCTGGCCATGGTTCAAGGGCCATGCAATGCATGATGGGTAAAATAAATTCTCCCAGGGGGGAATCTGCACATAAATTAGCCAGGAACATGAATTTTTAACCAGAAGGATTCGCCCTCGAAGCCACAATGGCGGCGAACTCGAACCTTGTCCCTGTGCTGCTGCTATTGCCATGGCTATAAAACCATTAATCAGACTTTTATTTAAAAAAAAGTTTAGTTTCTTTTTTTTTTATTGATGCCATTAAACATTTTTCCTGCACGAGGATTGAAGGTTACTCCAATAAAACATTTCTGGGGTTTTATGTGATATAAATGCTATTTTATTCATCAGATACACAGATTGTGTACGAGTACAACGTCCACGCTGGTGACGCGGTTTCTGGTCTGATATCAAACTTTTATGGAACATCATAAAAACAGAAACAGATACAATGTATAAAACTACAACGGGTTCTGTTCTTTTTTTTTAAAGTTTATAAAAAGATATTTTGTATATTTTACAGTTAATCAATGGCACCAGCTGTAGGGGGACCACAAATCCCAGCAATACTTTTATACAGCAATTCAGCACAGTATATGAATTGGACTCCGGGCCTAGTGACACGCTGGACACAGGACCCACCTGAAAGTTACCCTGCGGAGCCCACCACAGCCCATCTGAGACTGTCTATGGGTTCTCAGGTGGGCTGGTCAGGGCTGCATCTCCCTCCCAGCTCCTCTTACCTGTGCACCTGGCCTCCTCTGCTGCTGCCGCTGATCCAGCGGCTTCTAGACAAGCTGGGGCCCTATCACCTCCCTCCTCTTCTGATGTCACTTCCAGCCGGTCCAACATCAGAAGAGGAGGGAGGTAATGGGGCCCCATCCTGTATAGAAGTAGCTGGATCGGCAATGCTGGGGCCCTACGCTGCTAGGGCCATGTCTCCTCTAGCGCTGTGGGGGCCCGGCTGCTTTTCACCCAAGGTAAGGTTAGGAGAAATCAAGAAGATAAAATGAGGGGTAAGGGGGGAAAAAAAGAGTGGTAGGAGGTAAGTGAGACAGACAGGGGAAGGAATATAAGAAAAAAGCGGAAAGAAAGATGGAGAATAAAGAGGGGTGAGGGATGGAATTAGGAAAAAGGAGGGATTACACTAGACATGTGCGATTTGTTTCGTTACGAATCGAAATTCGTAAAAATTTTCCTGAAATTCGTAAATTCGGAGCATCCGAAATCCGAATTGCAGTTTCCGAATTATATCCGAAATACGAAATTCCGTTAACGAATTTCGGATCCGAATTTCTTTGAAACGGGAACTAGTATTACCCCTGTAAATGAGGGTGAACAACATGACAAGATTTTTTTTTTAATCCGAAATTCGGATCCGCTGCCGCTGAGAGTCGCATTACAATACACAGGCGGGAAATACGAAATTCCGTTGACGGAATTTCGTTCCGTTACGAACATTCGTTATATTGAAGTTAAAAAGCAAAAATACCTTTGTTGATATTGGAGTCGATGAGTTTTTTTTCTTAATCCAAAATACGAAATTCGGATCCGGAATCCGTTAACGGAATTCGCATTTCGGATAAAAAAACAACTACCACATCGACTCCAATATTAACAAAGGTATTTTTGCTTTTTAACTTCATCATAACGAATGTTCGTAAAGTTACGAAAATGTGCCGAAACTAACGAAAATCCGTATTTCGTACCAATCCGAATTGAGTTTCCGACACGAAATACGAAATACGAAATAACGCATATTATGAAACGGAACGAAACGAAACGGAACAAATTTTTTGACGGCGCACAAGTCTAGATTGCACAGAGTAGAATGCAAAACTGGAAATAGAACTCCATGGTAGGTCACATGAGGGTATCCATCGGTCCTTAATCTCACCCGTTTCAGTTGTGGAGAAGCCAACATAGCCCTGTAAGCAGGTGAATACATTAATCCAAGGAAATCATGTATGATGAGGTCTTCCATCCTCATGACTTTGTCAGTTTTAGAGAACCAGAGGGGAATGAAGGGAGCGTCATGGGCTGTTTCTATAAGGTAGGTATGAAAGCTCTGGCCACATTGAGCAGGTTTACCCTGAGGGCTAATTTGTATGTTACATAGTATTTGAGGTTGAATAAAGACATTAGTCCATCAAGTCCAACCTATTAGGATCTCATTCTAGGAGTACCTGTACCCCTGTATGTTACCTGTACCCCTGTATATTACCCGTACCCCTGTATATTACCTGTACCCCTGTATATTACCTGTACCCCTGTATGTTACCTGTACCCCTGTATATTACCCGTACCCCTGTATATTACCCGTACCCCCTGTATATTACCCGTACCCCTGTATATTACCTGTACCCCTGTATATTACCTGTACCCCTGTATGTTACCTGTACCCCTGTATATTACCTGTACCCCTGTATGTTACCTGTACCCCTGTATATTACGGTCCCTTAAGAAATCGTCCAAAAGTTTCTTGAACAATTCCACATTATTTGCTGAGATCGCCGCCTGTGGCAGTGAGTTCCGGACCCTAACTGATCTTACTGTGAAGAACCCCCTTCGCCCCTTGTGCTGGAATTTTTTTCCACCAATTTTAGGTGGTGGCCTCTAGTTTTTGTAACGGAGTTAATTTTAAACAGTTTATCGCTAATGTTGCTCCCGCCATTAAACATTTTGTACATGGAAATCATATCCCCCCTTAATCTCCTCACCTCCAATGTGAACATGTTTAAATTTAGTAGCCTCGTCTCGTAGCTCTGGTCCTCCATGAGGACCAGAGCTACGTTGGCTCTGCGTTGTTGGCGTTGTCAGCTAATGTTGGCATTGAATTTATATGTAGGAGGCGGCTGGCTGGATTATTTTCTAGGTTAGCTGAAGTAATGCTTTCTTGACATCATCTCAGAATGGGCCAATTAGAGCATAGCTTTGGAAAATGTGGAGAAGTGAGCTTCGTTGCAATAGGCAGAACCAGCAGTCTGGTTGGTGGATTTTCTAGAGGAGTGTTGGAACTGGATACTAAAGAGACAACAGTTTTCCATTTACATATCTAAGGAGGTACAAAACCCTCTATAGGGGTATTATTATTATTATTATTACAGGTCTTTATAGAGTGCCGACAATTTACACAACACTTTACATAGTTGCACATTCACATCAGTCCCTACACCCAAGGAACTTACAATCTAAGGTCCTAATCTCACATGCACAGGGGCGTATCTGCCGCGAGGCAAACAAGGCGTTTGCCTGGAGCGGATGAACCGGGGATCCCCAGTGCAGCCAGGCAGAAGCGCTAACCATATGCCACTGTGCTGGGTAATAAAGAGCTGGTAGCAAGTAAACACAGTCATACAGCCCTGCATGCGTTGGTCCAGTCTAGCCATCAACACAAGAGCTACAGCCTCCCTGAGTTTTATGCCCACTCACCGCCTGTCACTCAATGTCTAGAGTCACGACCATGTTGTCTATTATGTGTGGCCACAATGATTCACTCTCAGCCATGACCGCGTGCCCTTCCAACCCACAACCGTCTTCATTATACAGATGTGTATCTCTGCCCGGCCGCCTTCAGGAGTGGCACATTTTTGACATACCTGCTTTAAATCGTTTACAGCTCTCTATCACTTGAGTAAAACAATCTGCCCATTGGTGAAAGAAAATACATTTCTGGGTTATGGTTTATCATTAGTATTATCTGTAGCATGTGTTGAGTCCGCGTTATCACTAAACTGTACACTTTAAGTTATTGGTGTATTGCAGGGACAAGTCCATAATTCTGCCACTTTATAGATCGCTGGTTCGGCCTCATCTGGAGTATGCGTGCAGTTCTGGGCACCAGCGAGGGGATGTCCTGGAGCTGGAAAGAGTCCAGAGGAGGGCGACCAAACTCATAAAGGGGATAGAGGACCAGAGCTATGAGAACAGGAGGAGGGGAGGGGCTGGAGGACCTCAGCTATGAGAGCTATGAGACAAGGAGGAGGGGATGGAGGACCAGAACTATGAGACAAGGCTACTAAATTTAAATATGTTCATATTGGAAGTGAGGAGATTAAGGGGGGACGTGATTTTCATGTGTAAAATGTTTACCGGGGATAGCGACATCAGTAGCAAACTCTTTACAATTAACTCTCTGACAAGGGCGAGAGAGGCCACCTCCTAAAATTGGTGGAGAAAAGCGTGAAGGGGTTTCTTCTCGGTCAGGGTCAGGAACTCGCTGCCACATGCTGTGATTTCGGCTGAGAGTGTGGAATCATTCAAGAGGCGATTGGACGATTTCCTCAGAGACCGTAACATACAGGGGTATAAGTACTCCTAAGAATGACAACCCACATGGACCTATACATGCGCACACATCAGTAGGACCATACACATACACACAATAGGTTGGACTTGATGGACTTTTGTCTTTATTCTACCTCAAATACTACGTAACTATGTAACTATGGTTTTAGTTTTTCATCTTCAAAGAAAAGCTTTGAGATGCCGCCATACATGTTCTATACTTGTTTTATTGCCAGATTTAATACCAGCCCATATATTCCTTATTTCTCAGGCACGGGGACCCAAAGCTGAACATCAAAGAAGACTCTCGTGTATTGGTCACATTCAGGGACCCCCCTGCACCTGTGTATGGATTTCCAAAAACAATCCTCAAAATGGACTTTGATCTTCTTCAGCACTTTATTACTTGGAACCGTCTCCTACTTCACATTTGCTTATTTCCAGATAGAAAGACGATCGGCTAAAATAAACATTGAGATAAAACACAGGCCAATGGCGGCGTCACACTCCGTGACAAAACGCTCAGGGATATCAAGCTGGCTGTTTGTGCCAAAGCGGAGGGTGCCTTCTAAGAAGTCAGAGACCTCCGATGAGCCTCTGCTGACCATCTTACTTTGGACGTGGCCATTAGGATACCAGTTTCCTCTAAATAGATGTCCAAACTCTGAAAGCTCCGGCTGTTTCTACACTGTGAACCGCACCTCATACTCTATGGCAGACGCTGTTGTTATCAGTCATAGGGATGTACAAAAGTCAGAAGAGCTTTTACCTCCAGCACTGAGGCCACCTCACCAATACTGGATCTGGTTCAGCATAGAGTCTCCGACCAACTGTGCAAATTTAACCTTCATGGACAAGAACATTAACCTCACAATGTCTTACCGTCTCGATTCGGATATATTTACCCCATATGGCTGGCTAGAAAACATTGACAGCAAAGAAAATTTTACTATCCCGAAAAAGTCAAAGCTGGTGGCATGGACAGTAAGCAACTGGAAGCCGAAGTACAGACGAACCAAATATTACGAGGAGTTAAAGAAATACATTCCAGTCGACGTCTATGGAAAACATGCTATGACTCTGCCGCGAGAAGAGATGCTGCAAACTCTGGCCACGTATAAGTTCTACCTCGCCTTCGAGAATTCCATACATGAGGATTACATCACGGAGAAGTTCTGGAGAAGTTCACTAATAGCGGGAACTGTGCCCATCGGCATGGGTCCTCCACGTAAAAACTACGAGCGTTTCGTTCCACCCGACGCTTTCATTCACGTTGATGACTTTGCGTCTCCCCAGGAACTGGCTGAACATCTTCTGAGTCTGGATAAAGATGAGGAAAGATACCGACAGTATTTTAACTGGAGGGCCAGATATCAGCCGACAAGATCCCCTAGCAGTTTTCTAGCAGCGTACTGCAAAATATGCAAAGTATTGAAAAAGACCCCTTCTTATAGGACCATACCGAGCATTGCTGAATGGTTCAAGTGAACCTTGTACATCATGTCTGTCGAATGTGAACTGTTGTAGCCAACAGATAACTGCATGCACTCGAGAGTCAGTTTCTTGTGAGCTGATGTTTCGGTTTTGGGTTGAGGGTGGCAGGTGACGTCACCCACCAGATTACTAAATGTCTTTTGGGAGTCAGTCGTTGAGCTCTCTGGGTTCCCAGGAATGCCCACCTGCCATTACAAGGAGTCTCATTTTACATAGTATTTGAGGTTGAATAAAGACACAGGTCCATCAAGTTCAACCTATTGTGTGTGTGTATGCGATTCTACATTTGTGTGCGTGTGTATGAGCCCCTGTGTGATCTTGTTCTTAAGTGTGCCTGTTCCCTCCTTCGTCCTCTGCTCCCACCTTGTGTTCAATTGAAGCTTTAAAGGAGAACTATGGCGTCGGGGCTTTCCCCCATAGTTCTCCTTGGGGTAACAGGAGGACACAAACTAGCGCCCTCCCGTCACCCTAAGCTCAGTATATAGGGAGCTACAGCTCGCGGTATACTGAGACGCCGCAGCCGGAGCGAATCCCGACATCGATGTCGAGATCCGCCCAGCTGCGTGAGTGACAGCTGGCTCTGCCTATCTAGAGGCAGAGCCAGCTGTGCCCGCCCCCTCCCCTGTCCGTTCCGCCAGTCAGTGCTGGAGGATCGGAGGGGGGAGGGGGGAATCCAGCCCCTCCCCTGTCACGGCAGAGAGCCGTGACAGGATCGAGAGGTGAGCGAACGCCGGTATGTGTTCCCTCACCTCCCAATCTACTGAGCCGACCTGTGACAGTCTCATTGTCACAGGTCGGCTAGAACTATGAGGGGAGTGAAAAGCACCCCCCCCCTCCCCCCTCATAGTTCTCCTTTAACAACGTAAATGCGGAAGTGCGCTTCACTGCGTTCTACACCAAGAACACCGCCAGCAGCTCCGCTTGCAGTGCAGCTTTTCTATCTGTTTGCTGGCCGCAGAGATGGGAGATGAATCACAATCTCACCCGCTGTCTGCTGCTCTCATAGCAATGATCCAAAACATCTCCGTTATTGATCCCATTCATCAATAAATGTCAGAAATACAAGTTTGTGTGACGGCCCCCTAGACTGCGCCAGCTACACACCAGAATAATGACTTTGTATCCTACAACAGTAACAAAGTATAAACATGAATATATCACCATGAATGGCACCGAACATACACAACATGGCGCACTCAGCTACACACGGTGATTGATCATTTCCTCTGATTTATTGATACTTTGATTCTCTATTGATCAGTACAAATGTTATTCTATCCCTGAATATTTTTAGGGGAAACTTTAATAGATTTGGCACAATTTTATAATTTGAAACTGTTTCCCCCCCCCGCCCCCATAAATCTCTCTCACTGATTTCCAAGCAAATACGCACTATATTGCCAAAAGTATCGGGACGCCTTTACACGCACATGAACTTTAATGGCATCCCAGTCTTAGTCCGTAGGGTTCAGTATTGGGTTGGCTCCGCCCTTTAATGGCCCCCCAGTCTTAGTCCGTAGGGTTCAGTATTGGGTTGGCTCCGCCCTTTGCCGCTATAACAGCTCTGCCTCTTCTGGGAAGGCGCCCACAAGGTTTAGGAGTGTGTCTATGGGAATGTTGGACCATTTGTGAGGTCAGGTACTGATGTTGGGGGAGGGGCTCGCAGTCTCCGCTCTAATTCATCCCAAAGGTGTTCTATGGGGTTGAGGTCAGGACTCTGTGCGGCCGGTCACGTTCCTCCCCCCCTCCCCCATCCATGTCTTTATGGACCTTGCTTGGTGCACTGGTGCGCAGTCATGTTGGAACAGGAAGGGGCCGTCCCAAAACTCCTCCCACAAAGTTGGGAGCATGAAATTGTCCAAAATGTCTTGGTGTGCTGATGCCTTAAGAGTTCCCTTCCCTGGAATTAAGGGGCGGAGCCCAACCCCCGAAACACAACCCCCCCCATAATCCCCCCTCCCCCAAACTTTACACTTGGCACAATGCAGTCAGGCAAG